AAAAAAAAAAAAAAAAAAAAAAGACTACTAAATTAAACCGGGCATAGAGGCTCATACCTGTAATCCCAGTGCTTTGGGAGGCTGAGGTAGGAAGATGGCTTAAGCCCAGCAGTTTGAGACCAGCCTAGGCAACATAGCAAGATCCTGTCTCTACAGAAAAGTAGTAGGCATGGTAGTGCATGCCTGTAGTCCTAGCTACTCAGGAGACAGGGGAGCGCTTGAGCCCAGGAGTTCAAGGCTGTGGCGAGCCATGATTACGCACTCCAGCCTGGGCAATAGAGCAAGACCTGTCTATAAGTAAATACATAAAATAATAAAAATAAAGATTACTAAATTGGGTTGAGAGCCTGGAGCACAGGCAGAAAAGGTCAGACTCCTCTTCGAGCACAGTGCTGGGCCTCTGGGAGGTACCCGATATATCTATACCAAAGTAAGTGGTCATCTGCCTTACCTCCTGCCTCCCAGTCTGTTGGCTCTGTCTGGTCCCTTCAGACAGCAACATCCCACAGAGGTTTTTCTTGTGTCCTAAGACCCCTGGGAAGGAGGTCCCTCACCCTGTGCAAAGATCCTTTCTGCGGCTCAACCTCCACTTACACTCTGCTTCCTAGCCTCATTTTGTTCGGAGAGATGAGGAACAGCCGGCAGACTCTTTTACTCTATTGTAAAATGAAAGATCTTTCTCCCTTGTGCTATCTTCAGGCATTTGGTCTGCTATAGACACTGTTTTTAGCCTAAGGCTCAAGGCCCTGGGCTGACCCCCAGCTGAACAGCCCTCTTGCCCAAGGCAGGGTGGGGGTAGACGGCATGGTGGACAGCAGGTATGTGATTTTTGCCTTCTCCTCTGAGAGTCTGGCCTCTGCTGCCTTCCGTAGGTAGTCATGCACAGTGAGCCTGAGAGAATGTTCCTCCACCTGAAGAACATTCTAAAGCCCCTTCCCCTATACACACATACACTCCTTCATGAACCTCGGATCTAGGCTTATCTCTTCTCCCTGCAACTGGCATCTCAGAATTGTGGGAAGTATCAGTTGAGGCTTCTGCCCACAGACAGGGAAAACTGAGGCACAAAATGAAAGATTCCCTTTCCCTAGACACCCTATCCTCTGTGCTGTCATCTCAAAGTCCAGCATCTCTCATTCATTTGTGCCTCTCCCTCATGGCCTTGAAGCTGAGCCCTGTCACCCTCAGCTGCACCCTCGTTGCCCAAGACCTTTCCTATGGGCAGGACTCAGAGACTCTCCTTGCTCATGTTACCCCCTCCCCATATTCCCGGGGTCCCGCTCTGTAGCTGGGTTGCCTGGCACTAGCATAGCCTTCTTTGAGGGCTCAATATCCCCTGGGCCTGGGTAAAGAGTGGGGAGATGTAGGCCAAGTGGTAGGTGTGGCCCAGCCCCACCTGCACCCAGGGAGACAGCTTTGTGTTCTTCTCAGTCTGTGTCTTGTTTGCTGCCCACACCTGGCCAGTTGCCCCAGCAGGTGTGGGAGGAAAGAAAGTACAGGGTGGGGAGAGCAAAGGGGAGGTAACTTCTAGGAGTTGGCAGCTTTGTGTCCTTCTTTCACCCTGGTAGGTAAGGGCTCACCATTTGGGAGCCTTCAGACCCTTGTTGGAGTAGGGAGTGGGATCTTAGGGGGGCAGATGGCTGGATCCTGACGCTCGGGACTGATGCTGTGCCAACCAGCGTCTCTTGACTGTTGCGGCTGGCTGGACTCCTGCCAGGCATTTAAAGGGATGCTGTCCAGGCTGCTTTGCAGGCTGCTGTGAACAAGAGGGCTGGGTCTCCTGGATCCAGAATCATCTCTAATATATCATCTTCAGCACACCTCCCTTCCCTCTGGCTCAGAGGACATGTTAGAGGGGAGAAAAGGGAAGAAAGAGAAATGAAGGCTCTATTCAAAGCTGCAGTATTAATAGGCTTGGGGGAGGAGGGGCCCAGATCTTTGCACCTATACATTGAGCCAGCTTTCTTGCAGCCTCAGAGGCACTGGGGCCCTTCTCAGGGGATAGGAGGGGCCCCAGGGACCCAGCCACCTCCTTGGTGATAGAGAGACTGGGGGCAGTAGAGGCAACACTGTAAGGTGAGGAGGGTGCCTCTGTAGCATCCTTTATGCCAGAACCGGGGAGTCACAGCCTCTTTCCCAACCCAGGGTTCAGCCGACTCCTACACCAGCCGCCCATCTCTGGACTCAGACGTCTCGCTGGAGGAGGACCGGGAGAGTGCCCGGCGTGAAGTGGAGAGCCAGGCTCAGCAGCAGCTTGAAAGGGCAAAGGTATACTTGGGCATGGGGCAAGACGGGAGGCCAAGCTAGGTAGAAACCTGCACTGGGTCCTAAGTCCCAAGGGGTCCTTGGGCAGGATGTCCTTGAGTGTGAGAGGGTGTGTGTGACAGGCAGAGGCCGTGGCCTTCTGCTGTTGGGACACTGAGGCTGGAAAGGGCGCTCCGAGGCTTCTCTCATTTGCACTAATGGCCAAATTCTCCAGCACAAACCTGTGGCGTTTGCGGTGAGAACCAATGTCAGCTACTGTGGTGTACTGGATGAGGAGTGCCCAGTCCAGGGCTCTGGAGTCAACTTTGAGGCCAAAGATTTTCTGCACATTAAAGAGGTGATCAACCCCCCTGCTTCCAGAAGCCTCTGACACTTCATTTTCTTGCTCTTGCCCCCAGATCCCAGTGCTTCTTACTTCAATCCTCAGTCTTAATTCCCCTAGCTAATCAGCTCTTCTCCTTAACACACACCTGTCCACCTCTCATATCTAAGACCTCATCCCCAGGATCTCCATCCTTCTGAGACCTGGCTTGGGCCTCAGTTTCCATGTCTGTCAAGTGAGCAGTTAGATTAGCTGCCTCCGAGGTCCCCTGTGACAGCTGTAGTGCCTCACTCAGAAATCCTGGGTGGCCCGAACTTGGCTGCCCTTGCCCCTTCTGCTCACTGCCCCTTGTGCTGCATTCGTCAGACCAGCTCAGTGACTGACTGCCTCCCTGGCTCCTTCACATTGAAGAGCCAGGACTGGGGCGGGGCGCTCCTCTCATTGTCCCTTCCTGCTCCACCTATCCCCAGAAGTACAGCAATGATTGGTGGATCGGGCGGCTAGTGAAAGAGGGCGGAGACATCGCCTTCATCCCCAGCCCCCAGCGCCTGGAGAGCATCCGGCTCAAACAGGAGCAGAAGGCCAGGTGAGAATTGGGCTGTGACATAGTAAACACACCCCAAACATGTGCACTGTACCCACACACACGTCACCGTGCATGCCACACACATGCATATCCCCGAAATATACACACACATATGCCCAGCTCTATGCACTCACACTAATCTACAAACACACATGATGCACATATATGGCATGTACACCTGTTTCACTAGATAAAGCCTATGGAAATGTGTACAATTATTAAATAATGCATAGAACATACATACACAGAAACACATTCTTCTCTCCCTCTCTCTCGCCTCCCTTTCTTCTCAGGAGATCCGGGAACCCTTCCAGCCTTAGTGACATTGGCAACCGACGCTCTCCTCCACCGTCTCTAGGTAGCCTCCCCCCAACCCACCCATTTTGGGTAGGTGGGTAACTAAGACACAGGGAAAGGAGGGATTCTGCCCTAGTGAACTTGTGGGAAGGGGTTGGTGAGGGATGGGGAGGGGTGGGGAGAAGCCAGTACCTGCTCTGGGGATGGCGATACCATGCCCCCAGGGACCTTTCCCCCTTCACCAACTTTAATCTTGTATTTCCTTTTCCAAAAAGCCAAGCAGAAGCAAAAGCAGGTGAGTCAAGGAAGGGACCTGGGCTGGGGGACTCATGGCCTATGGCTCTGGGGACAGTGGTCTACGCGGTCATTGTTGGAGGGCAGAACAGAGAGGGGAGGGAGCCCAGAACCTCCGGATCTGCCCCGACATCAACCAGGCATGAGGCAGGCACCAGGGCCATGGTTTCTACTCACCTCTTGTCCGTTCTGCAGGCAGAACATGTTCCCCCATACGACGTGGTGCCCTCCATGCGGCCTGTGGTGCTCGTGGGACCCTCTCTAAAAGGTTATGAGGTGAGAGGTCCTTGACCCCAAAGAGTCACCTCTACCACGCCTGCCACAGGAAGACCCTAGGGAAAGTGGAAGGGGTGTGTGTCTTCCCTCCAGGGTCTGCATGTGGAGGGCATAGACTCTGGGGCCCTGCATGGAGATGCTGCCCCCCTCCAAAAGGGCCCTTCATCAGTGCCGTGTCTTCCCCCCAGGTCACAGACATGATGCAGAAGGCTCTCTTCGATTTCCTCAAACATAGATTTGATGGCAGGTAAGCCACACACTGGCTTGGGGTGGCCTACTTCCAGATGCCTGTAGCAAGTCTTCTCTGAGAGGAGAGTTAGTGGGAGCTGGGTAAGGAGAGGCTGAGGCTTCAGGTTTAGAAGCAAGCTGGGATTCTCCACCCCCACGCCAGGATCTCTATCACCCGAGTCACAGCTGACCTCTCCCTGGCAAAGCGATCTGTGCTCAATAATCCTGGCAAGAGGACCATCATTGAGCGCTCCTCCGCCCGCTCCAGCATCGGTGAGAAGTCCCCACCGCCTGCTTCTGTGCCCACTCAAGCACCAGTGAGAACCTTCCTCCTTTTTTTCTTTTTCTTTTTTTTTGAGATGGAGTCTTGCTCTGTTGCCCAGGCCAGAGTGCAATGGTGAGATCTTAGCTCACTGTGACCTCTACCTCCTGAGTTCAAGCAATCCTCCCCACCCAGCTGGGACTACAGGCACCCACCACCACACCCGGCCAATTTTTGTATTGTTAGTAGAGACAGGGTTTCACCATATTGGCCAGGCTGGTCTCAAACTCCTGACCTCAAGTGATCAGCCTACCTTGGTCTCCCAAAGTGCTGGGATTACAGGCGTGAGCCACCGTGCCCGGCTCCTCTTCCCTTTTCTCTTCGTTACCTCCTTGTCTTTCTGCCCAACTTTTCTACCTGGCCCCAGGATAGGCAGGAACACACCCCTCCTCCTCAATTCCCCTTCCTCTGCCTGTCCAGGCTTTGATGAGTGCCCTTTTTCTCCAACTCCTTCCTGTCCACCATTTGGGAGCCCTCAAAGCCTGCTGGAGTGAGCAGTGGGCAGAGCTCCCGGTGAGCACTGCTGCTGCCTCCCTCCATAGCGGAAGTGCAGAGTGAGATCGAGCGCATATTTGAGCTGGCCAAATCCCTGCAGCTAGTAGTGTTGGACGCTGACACCATCAACCACCCAGCACAGCTGGCCAAGACCTCGCTGGCCCCAATCATCGTCTTTGTCAAGGTGTCCTCACCAAAGGTAAGTCAGCTGGGGTCATGGAGGAGGCCCACAGGGCTGCCCCGCTAGAATGTGGCATGACTCTACTTGGTCCGTGCCTGGGGCACCTGAGTTCCCTTTTCCTGCTGCCCTTAACACAACTCTGAGTCATCCTCACCTGCTACTGATGCCACAAGTGGAGAAAGTGCCTCGCTCTGCCCAGGCTCAGCTCTGCCCAGAGTCCCCAGAGACTCCAGGCCTAGCTGTACCCTCCCCGCTCAGGTACTCCAGCGTCTCATCCGCTCCCGGGGGAAGTCACAGATGAAGCACCTGACGGTACAGATGATGGCATATGATAAGCTGGTTCAGTGCCCACCAGTGAGTGCCTGGGTCAGCTGCTCCTGTGCCCACTCCTCCAGGGCTGCGGCCATGATAGAGATGGGTGGGGGGGCTGCTGCTGAGGGGAAACCAGCGTTGTGCCTTCCTCCCCCTCCCCAGGAGTCATTTGATGTGATTCTGGATGAGAACCAACTGGAGGATGCCTGTGAGCACCTGGCCGAGTACCTAGAGGTTTACTGGCGGGCCACGCACCACCCAGCCCCTGGCCCCGGACTTCTGGGTCCTCCCAGCGCCATCCCTGGACTTCAGGTAACCATTTCCAGTGGGCGGAGATGCTCAAGCTAAGCGAGCCAAAGCACTGCCCCTCCCTGCCCAGAGGACTGTCCTTGGCCTCCAGTTCAGCATGCCAGAGGATTGTAGAACTCTCAGCTCTGCTGTACAGAGCTAGTGCAGATGGGCAAAGGAACTTCCTGAGGAGAGAAGGAATCAATCAATGAGATGGATAAATCAGAGATTACTTTCCTAGGGGTCAAGAGAAACACAATCTCCAAGTCCTTCTCCCAGGCTGCCTTGAAGGCAGAGCCTGAATTTTGCGGGAGTCAAAGCTCAGTTTTCTTTCTCTGAAGAGGAAAAATCCTCCCGCATGTTTCTCCCTTGCACTATTTCCTGTACCGGGGAATTGAGAATTGAGGGGGAAAGAATCTCCCACCCCACCAGAGGATAAGGTGAGGTCTGTAGTGCCTCACTCAGAGCTGTTGTGTGGCCCCCAGAACCAGCAGCTGCTAGGGGAGCGTGGCGAGGAGCACTCCCCCCTCGAGCGGGACAGCTTGATGCCCTCTGATGAGGCCAGCGAGAGCTCCCGCCAAGCCTGGACAGGATCCTCACAGCGTAGCTCCCGCCACCTGGAGGAGGACTATGCAGATGCCTACCAGGACCTGTACCAGCCTCACCGCCAACACACCTCGGGGCTGCCTAGTGCTAACGGGCATGACCCCCAAGACCGGCTTCTAGCCCAGGACTCGGAGCACAACCACAATGACCGGAACTGGCAGCGCAACCGGCCTTGGCCCAAGGATAGCTACTGACAGCCTCCTGCTGCCCTACCCCAGCAGGCACAGGCACAGCTGGCTGGGGGACCCACTCCAGGCAGGGTGGCATTAGACTGGCATTAGGCTGGCACTAGGCTCAGCCTCCAAAACCCCCTGCCCAGCCCCAGCTTCAGGGCTGCCTGTGGCCCCAAGGTTCTGGGAAAAGCAGGGGCCCCCCTTACCTCCTGGGCAGTGACCCTCACTAGGCTCCCATTCCAGGTACTAGCTGTGTGTTCTGCACCCCTGGCACCTTCTTCTCCTCCCACATAGGAAGCTGCCCCACTGGGCAGTACCCTCAGGCCAGGATCCCCTTAGCAGGGGCCTTCCCACCAGACTCAGGGAAGGGATGCCCCATCAAAGTGACGAGGGTGGGGTGTGGGCACCATGGCATGAGGAAGAAACAGTGTCCCGGAGCAGGCACAAGTCCTGACAGTCAAGGGACTCAGGGGCTGTGCTTTGGCATCTGAGGGCCTCCAGTCACCTCACTGCCACACATTAGAAATGAGACAATCAAAGCCCCCAGGGTGGCATGCCCATCCATCTGCTGGGGTGGGGCATCCACATCCAAGACTGGAGCAGCAGGCTGGCCAGGCTTGGGCCAGAGAGAGCTGACAGCCGAAGCTCTTGGAGGAAAGGGCTCTCCTCACCCAGGAAGCATCTTAACATGTGACAGGACCAGGGACCAGGAGCATGGTGAAGCCAAGTGGCAGACGGGAGCCCACCTGGATGGATGTTTGGGGAAGGAGGGCGCGTGTAGCAGAGAACTTATGAAACAGCTTCGGGGGCCTCCTTGCCTTTCTCATTCTTTTGCCCTGCATCCTGTCATTTCTGTTCTTGTCCCTCATACATCCTGGGAGAACCGGGCTCCAGACTTTGTTCCCTGACTCATAGCTGCCGCTTGTTAGGTTAGGGTTAGATGGGGAGAGACGGGGCACAGAGGACCTGTGTCCCCGGCCACTCTCGCCTATGGCTCTAGTGTGTGACCTACAGAGCATGCTCCACAAGCCCATGCCTCACCTCACTGCCATCACTAATAAACACCATGCACAGATTCTGTTGTCTGTGGCGCACGTGGCCAGGTTCCTTACCAAATAGCCCAAGTCTGGAGGAGGGAAAGAAGTGTTCGGGCCACCCTTCTCTGAGATCCGTCGAGCAGGAAGGGATAAGGGCAGAGCTGGGGGAGGCACTCCACTCTCAAGCATCCCTACTCCACATACCCAGCTGTCAAGAGGGAGATATCTGGTAGCATGGAAGGAACTTGTCCTGGGAGGTGGGAAGAAGAGGCTTGGTCATGGCTTTACAGTATCCTTGCCCCAGGCCAAAAAGGACATAGAAGCAGCTGCAACTTGAACTCCATGTACTGGGCCAACTCTTTTCTGTGGGTAAGGAAGAGCATGTGAACAAGAAAGGTATGGGGGGAGGACAGCGGCCCTGTGTTCCTCTTACCACAGCCTGACAGCTGGGCCCACTTGTCCTGCACCATCCCTTCCCAAGAGCAACAGATCCAACTAGGGAGCCACAAGCAAAGATCTTGAGACCGGGCATTGGGCATACAGCAGCAGGGTGGTTCCAATGGCCTCACCTGCCAAAATTTCACAACTGCTCTCCTTTCTCACCTTTGCCTAAAGCTCCCTAGAGGTGTCCAGCCAGGACCACACATTACACAAGGCTAGAGCAGGGGAGAAAGGGGCATTACAGTCCTGCTGCCATGGCTTTTGCATTGCCCCTTGTCCACCTATTGACTTAAGACTGTCAGCAGAGACTCTCTGCTCTGCTGTTAATGTGGCTGTCTCCCATTTCCCAAGCCTACCCACCCCACCCAATGGTGTCCCTCCTGCCAGGGAAATCAGTTTAGCTGGAACTAGACAAAGCCTTAATATTCATGTATTTATTCTCAGAACATACAAACTTATCTTCTCAGAGAATAGAAAACAGAGATTTCACTCAGTGACAAAGCTGGACACAGCCAGTTCACCCTGTCCCCCATCTACTTAGAAAATACCCTGGGGGAGGGATGCCCAGAGCACATAGCACCCCTTGGTGCATGGCTGTGCACAGGTCTAAAGGCTCTCAACTTGCTTTACAATCCAAATGGGAAAACAGCTGTCCAGATGACAGTAAGATTCCACTGTCCATAATCCTCATGGTGCCAGGTCTCCTGGGGCATCTAGGGCAACAATGCTGCCAGTTTATATCATTACACAGTCAAGTCTGTGCCAAAGGAGGTCGCTCAGGCAGCCAGGATTCTGTTCAGTCTGGAGAGCAATGCCGGCTGGCTGCCCCCATATCCTGGCATGAGGCGATGGCCCACTGCAATCCCAAAGCAAAGAAGGGCAGAGGTGGGCCAAAAAGCTGCAGTAATTTGTTCTCCCTACCTCCGACAGCGTCATCCTCTCCTTTTGCAGCCCCACACGCAGGCCTCCTGACCTGAGGGTCTGGGCTAGGAAGTCTGATTGTTTTCTTAAGCCCCCATAACCCAAGCGTGAGGACCTAGGAAGAGGGATGTGAGGGTTCTGAAGAGGCAAGAGGCAGCTTCGGAGATGCCCTCAGCCCACGGGAAGAGTGCTGTGTCAGGCAAATATGGTCTCTTCACGGCGCTTCTTGGTGAGGATGGTGCCTGGCTTATGCTGGGCATCTGGATGGTTGGCTAGCTCAGGGGGACAGGAAGACACTGGGCTTTCCAGGATGGCTTGCTTCAACTCGTAGAACACAGCAGAGTCCTCTTTTGTGAGGAAGGTGATGGCCACCCCACTCTTGCCTGCTCGTCCC